AACCCTCCTGCTCTTATGACCCCAGGGCCAACTCTTCCACCTGTCTCGGGTGTTGATGGATGGTGTCAGGGAGGGTATCTCTCCTCTGCTCATGCTACTATATGTCTGATAAGAAATGGGGACAGCTCTCTTTTGCTTATAACATTGGGCTGGGTCACCCTCACCTCCGACTACCACCAGGAAGTGCTGCCTAGGTGAGGGGCAGGGCCTGTTTCTTGAGTGCTGCAGCTGGTAAGGAGGAGGATCAGCTCTCTCATTTGTTACAGGTTATACGGGGTGAGGGGCAAGAGGGGTATCTCTCACCCTTCCACACCACCACATGACAGATATTTTTATAAGAAATATAAGAAAAACAAAACCTGATTGGCTTATAAATTACAGATTGTTTATATAAGATAGCTAGTTTTATAAAACAATATAGCCAATTCAGGCAGCTAGTTCATCATCCATCCCCCACCCTGTCACTTCCAGTACTGATTACAAAAGAGTGATACCCTGTTATTTCCCTGTAAGAACTGGTCTACTAGACTCTTACCCCTGATCTAGCCACAAAGCCTCAGAACCTAACCTATTACATATTACACTTGGCTATTTATTGAACTGTAATCCTACTCTCTACTTACAGAGCTAGAACCAAAGGGTTTCTTAACCATAATTAAATGTTTCTTCTAGTCTGTACGAAATAGGCTAGCATGGGTCCAGTTCTTGGGGCAACAATGTGAGGGTGAGTCTTTCACTGTGTAGGGTTACATTCACCTCTCTGTTAGATAGGGATTTCCTGGAGTCTTTCAAAGGAGAACACTGCTTGCATCCTCATAAGCACAACTCTCACAGCATCTTAAACTGATGTACCGTGATGTGAGAGACACTGGGGAACTGCTCTAATACTCTGTCCCTGAACTGTAATTGAGTGTGACAGTCCACTGATGGAAATGTATTCCCTTACAGAAAGGCATTTGGAGTTTAAAATTTCCATGTAAAACACAGATTAAGTTGGAAGAAATTATGTTTTAAAGCTATGTTCCCTTCAACAACCTGCTGTGAATTTGTATCAAGATGGTTAAATATTCAAATTCAGGGTGGTTTAGTTTGGGGACAAACGTCAGTAAGATGTTTTCAGGCAAGCTGGGTACTCTCCAGAGTAGAATAGCCAAGGGATAGCATCAAGAATCAGTGAGCTTGGAGAATAGAGGATAGCAAGCAAGAACTGATACAAGCCAGGAGCAAGGAAAGCAAAGCCTCATTTTCTCAGATCTGTCAACTAACTGCAACTCTGACCTCTGGTTTCCCTAAAGCAATCACTTTCACAAAGTAAACATACAATTTGAAAGTATATCTGCAATGGCCATGCAATTATGCTGTACAATATAATGGGATGGGAAGAGCCCAAAGACTAGGATTTGAGGCAATGAGAGGGGAGGAGGATACTTTGCTTAGAAATATTCTTAGGTCTCTGGAAATGGCATCAAGCAACAGTATCAAACCCAAGCTGAAAGAGAAGCTTTGCTGAGTCTTCCTGCAGACATGTTATGACCTAAAGATCCTGTCTTTGAAGCTCACTCCAAGGGAATAGTACTGGGTCACACAGAAGGCCAGATTCGGTTTCTGAGAGAGAAGGTCTGTTGGTACACGACCAATCAGGAGCCCCGTGTCTGGAACACTTAGCCTTGAGGCATATTAACAGTAGAAGACTGCCTATCAATGAGGCTTGCTTCTGGAAATTTCAGCCACTTTTGACCAAAGGGATGCTTTTTTAGTATTTAAATATTAAAGTATTTTAAAGTATTTTTTAAAGCAATGGTTCTGTAAGTACGGTCCTTAGGCCAGCACCATCAACGTCACTGGGGAACCAGGTATGAGTACATCTTCCTAGCTTTCACCCAGACCTATTTACCTTCACGGTGAAGTGGGGCAGTAGCTTTTCTCAACCTTCCAGATGGTTCTAATGCACACTGCTATCTCAGAGATAGCGGCTTAAAGGCACATGGAAAAGAGTGTCATGCCCCAGAGATTATCCTGAGATTTTCTTTCCTAGTCACTCAGCTTTAATGTTTTAATTTCATATGCCATGGAGTTCAGTCAAATTGATCCCTTGTTTTCTCCAAACCTCCTATTTTTCTCCAAACAAGTATTTCTTTATCTCCCAAAAGGATCATCATAATCTAAAAATAAAATAAAATTTGTTCTCCATGTGTTCATCTGGTTAGGAGAGTTTTTCATTTTATGAAACAACAAAGTAGTATTTTAAAATTTCATGGCATCTGGACTAACATCAGTAGATTAAAAAAAAACAATAGAAACCCATTTTTCTCTTATGCTTTTAAATGTAAAACTTTTGAAAAAAGTACATAAATATTTTAGATATATGTTCATTGTAACCATCAAATAACTCAGATGTGAATCAAGTAAAATTTAGTAGCCTTTCCTTCCTTACGATCATGGGCCTTTCAGGGCCACAGCACCTGACCACGTCTATCTGTAGACTCTCATTTCACTGAGTGCATAAGCTTGTATGTGCAGAAAACTCCATACACAAAATCAGGATCATTGTATGTTACTGCTCAGAAACTAACCCTTTACATCTAAAAATAGCAGAAGCACAGTCAGATTATTACATACACCGCTAATTAGATTTTTGAATGCCTGCTCTTCAGTTAGCATTCTGACATATTTATTTCCATTTACTCCTTTTAAATTTTTAGTGGGGTCCTAAAAATGAAGTGTGGGAGTCCTAGACCATGTCAATTTATAATTTAGAAATATTCTGAAAAGTAAGTGTTTTCCCCATCTCTGGTGTCTCCCATGGTTTCAGTTTGCATTTCCTGACCACACTGGTACCCCAGGTCATCTTTTGTCCTCTTATCATTGAAAATTTTACCTTAGAGTCAAAGGGCCTCTCTGAATCTGTAGGAGGGAAACTGATGCCCTGATGTTACTGGTAAGGAAGGGTGTGGTGGGTGCCTCCAGTTCTCAGCAGTGTTGACAAACAGCAGTTCGATTCAGGGTCCCAGTTTCTCTCAAGCATTACTGGTGTTCTCACTAGAAACTGAGAGGTAGATTTTCTCCAGGCTGAAGGGTAGCCTTGGTTTAAGTATTTATTTGGGGCTCTGAGTTGCTACCAGAGCTAATAGATCGGCCCTCCACTCACCCAGGAGCTCCTGCCTTCTGCCTGAGTCTCAAACAATGAGATGCACGCCTGTCTGGTTTTGAGAGTGTATCTTGGAGGCTCACTGACCTTGTTATTCTACTGTCTGAATCTTTTGGGTGGAATACTGACCAGGAGAGGGATCATGGGTATACAATCACACTTCCATCTTTCCCAATATCTCAGTTATTATTCAACTGTATGGTTTCAGTTCTTCACCCTCTGCTTAGAAAAAAGTTAATAAGATGATACTGAAAGAAACAATGAGTTTAAAATAATACTCAAAGTATGTCAACTTTCTACAAATTTATCTATAATGAAACACAAGCAAAATACACAAAGTGGTCTCCCAATTCTCTGAAACACTCTTTGGAAGCAAAGCCCTGTGTGAGATCAAGTGCAGGATGCTGCTGTGTGAAGACCATACTTGGCTTCCCAGCCTGCAACGTGAGAAATTCCTTTTCCCATAATAATGTTAGTGAGACTGAGCACAGCAAGACAAGGTTCTCTTTCTTAAGTCACAGAGGTTTATCAGGTCAGGCAAAATTTCAGCATCATGTTATCTCACCTTTCATCATCTCTTATGTGAGCCCAACCTTGCTCCTTCTAGATTGATGTGCCTATAATTTGATCATAATGCTCTGAAATGTAGCACCTTTAAATTTACCCCCTATGAAGACCCTCATTTTTTGTCATAAAAGACACAATGTAGTCTCTCAATTCCATGCTGTAATTCAATATGAAATTTCCTGGTCCATTTATAGATGAACAATGACCCATCTCATCACCTTGCTCTATAGCATTCAGCATCATCTCTGGAGGAGAGTGGAGTCCTTTTCTGATGCCCTGCCCGGGTGACTACCCACCTCCCCAGCTCATCTGAGAGCTCTTAGTTGCTAAAGCTTGTCACATCCATCTCTTGTCTGACTAGGGAAGGCAAGGGCCGCCTTCAGAGATGTGAGCGGTTGTTGCTGCCAATATCATGACTAGAGGCCAAGCTCTAGCCCCAATCATAGCATTTCTCTCCACATGCCCCTTTGCTGGCTCGCAAGAGTGGCTAAGGCTTGGGCTAATTTGATACCCTCAAGCTCTGTGACAGTTTGTCATCTTTTAAAAGTTGAAACTTATTTATTCTCCAGCAGGGAGGTTTCAGCTTTCTGGTACTAAGATTAGACAGAGTCTGAGGTCGTGAGATGGTATCTCTTTCTTGAAAATGGTGTGCGAAGAAGCTGGTTTCCAGAAATGAGATTTCTCTTGGCTTAGTGTATCCAAGGACCATCTTCTTCACCTGAATAACCCACTAGTATAGATCCACATGACTCTTATTCTTGAGTGGGCTCAAATGGTTTGTTCATGTTTTCACTAATTTCCCATGGAACAAATGAACACAATAAAATCATTCATTCATGCTAATGCAGAGTATAAATGAAGAATAATGCAAAACACCTAAGAGTAATAAGATTCAGTTTCTAATCTCAAAAACCTTGCCATGTGGAGGAGAGAGAAAGGCACGCATGAGTGTAATTATGGCTTCAGTGTGAAAAGTGTCAAAAAGAGGCAAAACAAATTCAGTGGCAATGTGGAGATATCATTCAATTTGAGACAGTATACACTTCATGAATACCTTCACTAAGCAAATACTGTATGGTTCCCCCATCAACAGTTCCCCTCATAGAACTGTTTCAGTTACCTGTGGCCAATTACAGTCCCCAAATATTAAATAGAAATTTACAGAAATGAATAATCATAAGTTTTAAATTGCACACTATTTTCAGTGTTGAAAAAAGCAAACAAAACAAAACAAACAAAAATCTCTTGTTCCTTCCCACTTCTTTTTTCCTGGAATGGGACTCACCCTGTGGTCTGTGTATCCATGCTGTGCACACAATCCACCAATTAGTCACTTAGTAGGCTTCTTGGCATCAAGTTGGCTACTTGGAATTGCAAGGCTTGTCCTCAAGTGACTCTAGCATAGTGACCCAAGCTTACAGAGCAGGACATCATGTGGATATTGTATCATATATATCACCTCAAGGAAGAAAGATAATGAGGACAGTACAATAAGTATCCACATAATTTTCTGACAACCTGGAATTTTAGTTTACTATTAGCTTTTGCTAACTTCATGCCCAGCAAATAGCCTATGAATATATCATAAATGCACATAGAGAATAAACACTATTTATAGGTTTTTGTGCCATTCACATGTTTTCAGAGGGTCTTGGAATTACCACATTAAATAATAGGGCACTACTGTACCTGCCATGTAAGAAGTTCTTAGATTTTTCTAAGTGAATATGCATTTAAGATGGAAGTTTGCAGAAGAGTAAAATGAGCATTAAATCCTGAAGGTAGAGAAATGCATGCAGACTAGATTTAGAGATAACAGGAAGTCTTATTTTACTGAAAACTTGAGCATAGAAAGGAACTCCCCATGTATTCTAAAAGAATGGATTAAAGGTGCTTGCCAGGGCTGCTGTTCACCATTTTTGCAAAGCAACTGCTAATGAGGTAATTAGAATTGGGTTTCAGGATGACTATTCTCAGTAGGACTTGAGCTGGTTCAGAAAGAAGAAAGGCTCAGGCAGCATGGCCAGTTAGGTTATGAATTTATGTCAGCAGTTAAGTAGCAATGTCGACAAGGGAAAATGAGGGAGGAAGAAAGAGTACTAGAGGGTCTGTGAAGATGAAATTGGCTGTCTCATACTTTGGAGCCGAATGAAGCGAAAGAAGACAGAGGGAACTCCAAGACTGTGGGTCTGGATCTAGCTCTCCATCATGGCAACCCTGTTCATAAAGATGACAAAGGCAGAAGGAAAGAATCACATGTTCCCTTGGAGCTAAGAGGGCTGAGTACAGACAAGTCACTCCCATCATGCTGACCTTTACACAGAAGGACTGAGTAGATGTTAAAGACATTTTTACAGATGCCCTTTGGATGTGATTCTGCATGTTTTACAATGATTGGCTGGTGGCGCTCTTGGCATCACTCTTCAGCTGTGTGAACAGAGGTGTTTACTCTGCTGCTCTCCAATTCATGATGGCCCAGAGCTTAGAATGATAGACAAAGGCTTATTCTGAAATTAACTTTGAAAACTGGAGTTTTTCTCATTAGTAGTGGATCTCTGCCATGCCTGAAACAAGTATTGGGGGAGAAACGTTCCCTTTGTTGTGCCCTCAAATTGTAATGATGGATTTGTGACAAACTAGTGACCCTGGTGACTAAGCAAATCTCTGCAGCTGTAATAGCCCCTATAAAATAAAACTCGTATCAAAATCTAACTGACTCACCTCTGTGCTAATGTATCACAGGGGGATTAAGGTGGATGGATAGTCCACACAAATGGTTTTATTGGCAATCATTTTGGCAAAACAAACATTTTCAGTTCTTCTTAGTCATTTCTCATGTATCAGTTGCTGACATTAGCATGGTATTTTCCTCAAATAGTATGACATACTAGCTGCCTAAAATATCTGATATAATAATGGGTAGACATGTTACACCAACTACAATAAATTAAAAAAGATACCGAGAATACTGTTTATGGTGGTGATGAAATTGTTAGGTCATCATTTTATCTCAGTTTTCACTTAACTCTTCCTATTGCCCTTTTCACAATCACACTCATATTTCATTTAACCATTTAGTTAGTTAATCAAGTGGTTGGTTGCCAGGGTATAACCCCTTCACATTCTAAGGACATGCTGCTGCTGAATCAAGCTCTTGGTTTTATCTCCACATTTTAGAGTAAAATATCTAGGTCCTTTTCATTCAAAATTCAGCTAATTCCTTTGAATACCATACCCTAAATATACCATCCAAGCATTCTCAACTCTTGTCCCCTTGTTGGCCTATTTCAATAGGGTACCCTATTTACTCTCAACTCCAATCTCTATCATAGTTTTATGAATCCTTCAGAAAGTACCCTTTGCTCCCTAGTGGCCCCAAAGATTTCCACAAGAGAGTCCCCAGAACCTTTGAATATGATAGCTCACATGAGGAAGGGGACTTCACAATGTGGTTAAATTAAGGACCCTGAGGTAAGAAAATTCTATATAAGAAGGTAAAGAGTAGAATGAGAGAAGCCTTTATGCTGCTGAATTTGAAGCTGGAGCAGAGAAACACAGAGAGCTTCTAGAAGCTGAAAGAAACATTCTTGTTTAGGGTCTTTAGAAAAAAAATACCTTCACACAGAAAGCCCCACTGAGTTTCACTGATCCTGCAAAGTGTTTTACATGCTGTCTCTTTACCTGTTTTTCCCTTATTATCTTTTATTGTGAGCTCGTTGCTTGACGATCTTTGGTTGCTCTGAATCCCCAGATTTCCCATCTTTTATTCAAAGAGGTCATTACTATTGGACATCCCCAATCATGAGCCAGAACCAGTTCCTGTCATAACCTGTCCTCCATGGACAAAGCTCACAAGTTCAGAGGCTTCTCCTCTTGGACCAAAATCACAGTGGTTATGAGCACCCACCTCACCTTGAAGCCACACTTCCCTTGTACACAAGCCCTCTGTTGGAGGTTTTATTTTGTTTTTAGACAGACAAATGCCTCTTCTGAAGCTTCCATGATGTTTTGCATGGCACAGTCTTCCTGAACATCTTCCTAGAGCCTGGTGTATCTGTAGAAAGAACATGGCAGAGGTTGGAGATGGCTTTAAGCCACTAACCTTGCTGGCTCTTAGATATGTAGGTTTTGTAAAAGGAAATATTCAAGAAGGATTATGAGATTTCTTTTTCAAGAAAGAAGAACGCTGTGAATGTCATTTATAAAAGTAAAATTGAGAGGAAAAGTAGGGGGGTTGGAACCAAGCCTTGCATTTTACACTTGATTTTGCCAACTTACCTATCTTCTACTTTTATTCCTTTGAAGTTTTAAGGCTGAGTGACCAGAGCAATTTCCATTACTTTGTAGACTGATAAATAAAGGTCAGTAGTGTCTTTATTTCATATTAACATGTTTATCATTTTATCATCCTATGTATAAGGTCTAGCTGAGCTTGATTTCCTGTTAAATAGGAAATGTTAGTGAATATGTCAAATAAGTATGGCTGAAGGAATTAAAAGGATAAAGCTCTCATAGGATTTATCTTTCTGGAAGGATTTAGAGAACTGTAGAAGACTGACAAGGATTTATTAGGACTCAAGTGGTTCTTCGTGTACCTTTGCTTTTTTTTTTTTTTTTTTTTTTTTTTGTTTATTTAGTTCCTTCCCATCAAGTGATACGATCAGGAAACACAATCTGCATAGAACATCAGCACTCGTTCTCCATGTTCTTCCAAGGAATTTGGTCTACTCTTTAGTGCATCACATACAATCCCAACAGATAGCTTTGGAGAACTCAGTTTTCAAAACATATGTGTATCCCAGACTATCCCAAAGAGTTCAGGTGAGGGACAGACTGTGTGTCTCTGAAAAGACCCTGTTGTCCACCAGGCTGTCTGCATCCTATTGCAGTTGCTTCTATCAGATTCTTAAATACATAAAGAAAAAAGATGACCAGTCTTTTTCTCTAGCTTCCCTTCGTACTCCTCTTCTAGCTCCATGACAACCTCTCTCTTTTAAGCTTAGGTTTGGCATCTTCTTTTTCTCAGATCTTCTCTGCCATGTAAGATAAGAAAGGTCCTGGTATGATAATTTCATCTCATGGAATCTTATGTTTATTTATGAGCTAGCTGACCTAGACTGTTCTATTTTTAAATGTTCCTTGAATTCTCTAGGCCTTGTCTACCAAATGAAGTCACTGATTGATTGCGTCAGCCTGCAAACCAGATTCTCCTCATACCCCACCCCACAGATCTTCACCCAGATGGCTCTGGATCCTTCAGAATGTTCATGTGCTCAGAAAGAACTCTGGACATGTTCCCTCCACTGATGTTCCTGTTAAGCCTTTGAAATCTTTCTTTTTGATGTAGGCTTTCTCTCAGTTGTGGCAGATAATTACCACAGTGGGAAAGTATCATTCCTAGCTAGAGTAAAATCTGTGAGAACCTTCCATTTTCTTTCCATTTTCCCTATATAGAAGCAGTTATTGCTGCCTTTACTTCGTGATTATTTTCTCGTTTGTGTGATTGCTGCACAATAAGGACCTCCGAGCTGTCTGTTTATTGCTACAAGTGTTTAAGCTTCTTGTAACTAGTATTATAAAATATGCATTTCTCCAATGTAATTTTCTTTGCTTAATACATTTTGTAGATTTTTCTATGTTGATGCACATGTTTCTATTTAAACTCTGCAATACAACAATGCCACAATATATTTCTCCATTTTTCTACTGGTTGATGCTTAAAGCATTTTTTTTTGGTTTGGGCCATAAATTACAATAAAAATACATTTTTAAAATTTTTCTTTAAAGTAAATTCAAGAAACAATAAGTATGGAAAACAAACTAGGGAAGTATCATTCTTCAAAGGTAGATTTGGTCATGATTGTCACAGAAAGTCACATTTGGGTATGATACAGCATAGGGGGAGTGGCTAAGGTGAGGGGTGCTTTCCAGTAATAGCCATTCCTTTCTTCTCGTTTGCTTTTCTTTCTACGTCTACTATCCGGTTTCATGCCGTGTCTGTTCCATAGCATCAACATTCTCTTATATTTCCAGTCCAGAGCCATCCAGTCTCCTACATTGGCCATAACCTGTTCCATCAGTAAGCAGCCTAAATTAACTTACTACCCTTTCCTTTGCAAATCCCTGAATAAAGATCAATCTTGCCTTCATTTTTCTGATCAGTAAAGAACAGAGATGATATGCACGATTGTACTATATTACTTATTTAGAGGTTATGTCACCTAGCGGCCCTAGGTGACAATTTGGTCACTTCCCATAGTGGGATGCATGTGCCTCCTTTTCTAGATTTGATTGGATCTGTTATTTTACCCCTCCTTATCATCTCCCAAGCATAGTTACTAGCTTTCTAAATGAAGGCTCGATGACTGGAGATATATCTCAGTGGCAGAGCACTTGTCTAACATGTACAGACATGGGTTCATTCACAAGAATCCATTAAAAATTCTAATGGAGGCTTGGACTCCTGAGAGAATGTTCCTAGAAAAGGCATCAGAGCTTCTCTGAAATCATTAGAGTCCTGATCCTGGATCATGGTGCTGGGATCTTCTCCCATATTCCGTTAGTTCAGCAACAACAGATGACTGAAATAGTCTCCTAACCAGCTTCTTTGATCCAAAACACTCTCCCTTTAAATCTGTTAATAACTTCCCATCACTTGTAATATGAAATGACTGCATGGGCAAGGTTCCTATTGACTTCTCTGAACTCTGAACTCCCTACTTTCCCCTCTTCTCTGCCTCAGCCCCTTTCCAGTTCTTCTGTAAGTACTACATCACCTGAAACCTCATCACCTTAAGTGGCAACTAATTTTTTTTATTGATCATAGTTCTGTGGGGTGAGGAAATCACTCCACTACTTTTAACTGGACTTACTCATGTAGCTAAATTTAATTAGAAGGTCTTGGAGGAAGGGAGGGTTCTAAGTTTTACTTACATATATAGGATGCTTGGTCCTTGATCTCCCAGCCATATTTCATACTGAGAAGAGATGGAAGCAGGGCAGCTTTCCTCACATGACTCCTTTGTTCTAAGCAAGCACTTACCAAGCCTGTACTTGTATTGTTTGCTGATGTCCCCAGAGCCAACATTAGAAGTAGTAAGGATAGGAAAGCCCAAGAGACAGGATTCAGGAAGAGCCACTGCAAGACCAAAACACCTCATCGTGCTTGATGCTCTGTGGTCTTTTCTCCCTACAACTCTTATGTGGTCTCATCCTGTATTTTTTTTTAAGACAAATAGATGAATAAAATACATAAAACTTTAATCTTCTTTTCCAAAGAGGAAAAGCATGTAATAAACAAGTTGCAAAAGAATTAAGATTATTTTAGCAATCATAAGATGGTCTGAAGAAACAAACTGAAGTAACTGGTACGGAATATCTGGCAGAGATGGAGAGATAATGGTGTCAATAAGTTTTTTTGGAGGGATGACACTAGACCTAAAATCTGAAAGATAAAAAGGAGCTAGCAATGTGGTGTTATAAAAGAGGACAGTCCCAGGCAGGAGAAACCTCTTCTTTGCCAGGTCACTGCCTCTAGCCCCACCGCCTCCCAGGTTCTGTTCTGTGAACTGCCTGTTTGTTCTGCCCTTACAGTTGCCAGCCTTCTTCAGACTTGTTATTCCCTTCAGAGAAGCTGCCACAGTGTGTAGCAAGCTACTCTTGCTTTCTTGTATAAGTACACAATAAAGTGTAATACCCATGAAGACAGGGGTCGTGTCTATACACTTCTTGAACATCTCCAGAAAACTAGTTGGTCAGCACTCAAAAAAATGCTCACCAGGCCCTTTATATACCATTACTAATCCTCCTAAGTAAAGAAATTGAGGTCCAGTCAGGCTAAAATATTTGTTTCTACTTGTACCATTAAGGTGTTAGGGAGCTTTTCCATAAGCCAACACATCCTGTGGATTAACTCTGGAAGAGTTGAGCATTTTATTTAATTTATTTTTTAATAATTTTTTTTATTAAGAGATTGTCTACTCATTTTACATACCAACCACAGATTCCCCTGTCCTCCCTCCTCTCACCCTCAGCCTTCCCCCTCCAAACCACTCCCCCCTTCTCACCTCCTCCAAGGCAAGGTCTCCCACGGGGAGTCATCAGAGCCTGGTACATCCAGTTGAGACAGGTCCAAGCCCCTCCTTCATGCACTAAGGCTGTGCAAAGTGTCCCACCACAGGCGCTAGGCTCCAAAAAGCTGGCTCATGCACTAGCGACAGGTCCCAACCCCACTGCCTGGGGGCCCCCTATACAGTTCAAGCTAAACAACTGAACTGGCCTAGTCCAGTACCATGGGGGCTCCTCAGCCATTGGTCCACAGTCCATGCATTTCCACTAGTTTGGCTAGTTGTCTCTGTACTTTTTTCCAGTCATGGTCTCCATATCCCTTGCTCACAGAATCCCTCCTCTCCCCCATCGACTGGACTCCTGGAGCTCCTCCTGAGACCCGGCCGTGGATCTCTGCATCTGCTTCCATCAGTCACTGGATGAGGGTTCTATGATGTCAGTTAGGGTATTCAGCCATCCAATTACCAGAGTATGCCAGCTCAGGCACCATCTCGACCATTGCCAGTAGTCTATGGTGGAGTCATCCCTGTGGATTCCTGGGAACCTCCCCACCCCACCCCACAGCACTCTGTTTCTCCCTATTTCCATGAGTATTTTATTCTTACTAGTATAGTATGGCAAAGTTCAATGTGGTCTTAAAGTTCCCAATTGTGGTGAAAAACACAGTTGGGCTTAGTCTCTTTTTGTGGGATCAAATCTTACCTCTCCAGCCCTGAAGTGTGACATCAGGTATTCCATGTCCACCCTCAGAAGTGACAGTCACTATAGTGGGTTCACATGTTGTCGTGGGAATTTTGTCAAGTCCTGAAAGCACCATGTGCTACAGGAAGCCAAGAAGTCACTGCATGCAGACACTCTGATCTTCCTACCAGAAGAGGAAATTTATCGTAATGTACCATCAATAAAAATGCCTAGATTTGGACTATATGTTTAGTTTCAAGCTACAATAAGAAAATAAGGTGTGTTCTATTATTGCTTAAAATTGAAAATGTGTACTTTTAATTTTCCTTTTAAAATTGAATTTATGTGGGTATGTGTGTGTGTGTGTGTGTGTGCGCGCGCGCGCACACACGCGCGCACACGCATGTGTGTGTTTTCTCCTGTGCATGCATGCTCACTATGGCACAAAAGTGAAGGTCAGAGGACAACTTTATCTTCTTCCACCATGTGGAGCCTTGGGGACTGAACTAGGATCCCCAGGTTTAGCAGCCAGTGTCACTATGCCTGACCCAACTCACCAGCCCAGATTATGTATTTTTTTTGTTATTTTTAAATATTTGTTTTATTTTTAATTATGTGTATGTATGTTTGGGGTGGGTGGGTATGCGGACATGAATGTGCCTGCCCTTAGCAGCTAGAAGAAACGATCAGATTCCCTGGAAGAAGAGTTACAGGAGATTATAGACCACCAGACATGGGGCAGGAAAGTGAATCTGGGTCCACTGCTAGAGCAATAAGAGCTCTTAACTGCTGAGCCATCTCTCCAGCCTCACGTGTATTTTTTAAAGTACAGAAATGTAAACCTCTGTAAAGGAGTAGGCACACAAAATGTGTTTGGTCGTCTGCAAACTGACCTTTGAAGTTTTTTTTTCTGATGACTTATCTGGTACTTAAGTCAGACAGGAAGCCTCTTTGGAGTGGTTCTCGGTGTCCATGTGTATCCCAACCTGTTGTTCATGGCTCCAGATCTGAAGCTCAGTGTGCCATGATTCACTGCGAGCCTTCTCCTCGGAACACTCATCCTCTCCCTTCATGCTGATCTCAGCAGTTGTAGGGTGCTCCTCAGCAATACACCAGCAATGCTCCTGTCTCCTGCTTCCCCCGGCTTCCCTCCGTCACCGAGTCAGAGACTGGAAACAAACAAAATCTCTGTTTTCTCCAGTCAGTTCTCTCTGTCGTCTCTGTAAAAGGTAGCTTGAATCTATCCTCAATGAAATGAAACTGCCTCTCTCTGCTTCTGTTGCAATTTGCTTTCTTTTATACTTTGCATGAGGAAGGAAGCAGGCATTTTTAAAGAATGGAAAAATTGTCTCAACAATGTTTCCATATTAGCACCTTTTCTGGAAAATAGAATGGATTTCTCCACTAAAACGTGATATTTGGGATGACTACAGAAGAATGGTTTCTGTCCAGCCTTGTCACTAGAAAAAGCTATCGGTATCACTTCCTCTTGGATATGGTTTTCCCAAGTACAAAAACCATGTTGCTGTTAGCTCCCTGCTATTACTGTATTCTGAGCAAGTGTAGGTGAGTGAGCACAAAGCAAAGCTGCCCCTGTAAGCCATCTGTATCACCAGACTCTATTCCTCTTCTCTGGAGCATGCCTTTTAAGAGCCAGAGAGCCCTTGAGGGTTTTTTTGTTTTTTTGTGGTTTTTTTTTTTAACCACTGGAGAGCTCAATATGCCCTCTGTTCCTAGCACAATTTGGCTTGCTCTCTTTCCCCCCTGTGGCTTAGATCCCTGTGCACAGATTTCTTCCTTGGCATAAACTCAGCCTCTAGTCCAAACAGTTGCCTCGCCTGCCTGAATTCAACTACAGCCTGCAATAGGTCCTGGGACACAAAGAATAAGGGGTCCTGGCCTCAGAGCTGGGTTGACCTGGCAGGCAGGAGACAGGCAGGGCAGGAGCCTGGATCCTGAGACATACAGCAGTAGGAGCTGTGACATAGCCAACCAGAGGAAAGGTCAGAGTCATGGCTGAAGGACCAGAGCTGAGGTCCAGAAAGCTCTGGTGGGCCAAGACAAAACTGCGACCAAGCATAAGTGTGTGGGTTCAGTGATCAAGGTAACTTGAAGCCAGCTTCAAGAAAAGACAGGCCTATACCTGAAGTGTGTCTCTGCACTGGCTTTAAGCATTTTTCCTGCTTACAACATGTGGTTGAAGTATGAATATCTCCCTCTCCGTTTTCACTAATATCTGGCCCAAGTTTTACCTAAGTAAGCCATGAGTCTTTGAGTTCCAAACAAGCTTTCTCCATCCAGTGCTAGGCACTGTGTTGAGTGATTTGGGCACATCTCTGCAGATAGGTATCCTGATAGCATCAATGACAATATGTCACTGAATTACAAAATCAACCCCTAAGAGCAGCAATGCTAAAGGCAGTGCCCCACAGCCGTGAGACCGTTTGTAGCACCCAGACTTTGCTTGTCTGTAACCTGCAGTCCACATCCTCTGTAGGAAGAAGCAGCAGTGTAGTCTTGGAACATTTGACAGCAGTGCTGTAAATAATCCAAGCTGCACCAGTTTAGTAGAGACATCAGGAATATCATGACTCTTGCCTCCAGGTTATCCACAGAAGCGGTGAAAAGAAGTAGATTTTCAAGCTTATTTTGGAAGAGACAAGCAGGAAAGAGACTGAAAGCTGACTATAAATCAGTTACTTTGGGCTGCACACCTGCCCTGTCAGTCTCAGCTACATCCAAATGGAAAAATGGGTGATCTAGGATTACACCAGGGCCATGCCAGCAGCCACAGTACTAAAAGGTCACATCTATTATGGTTGGCATGCAGCCCCCAGGGCTGTACTTTGAGAGGATGTCATAGTCATCTCATGCAGAAGGCATGTCCATCATGCCAGAATGTTGCTGTCAGTATTTGATCTAATAAAAGACACACTATGCCCCTTTCATTCAAATTCAATCACATCTATTAAATAATGATCACTTTTTTCCCTTGCTATTTTACCCTTACATTTTAAGCCCTGGATTAATTCATCAAAATTGTGTTGTTTGGCTCTGTCTTTAAAGTTACAGAGATTCTTTCAAAAACATTTTATTAACTAAAGTAAATGATTCAGCCAGCCTATACTTAGGGGTGGCTTCATATAACCAGTTGGTGCTGCCTTGGAAGAAACCACTGGCCCCTGCTAATAATACCATGTGTATCAGCAGTCAGAAGGTGAATGAAGACTACAAAGAAAATTCTGAAAACAAAACTAAGACAGAAAAGAGCAGCTTCAGAGCTGGTGCCATCTGTGAGCAACCACATAGTCAAATCTTGCCCTGCTCTACAGAGGAATTTATAAGAATTCTCAGAGCCCTGCACAAGAGCGACAAAAGACCTCATTGTAAGAATGTTCATGTGAGCCCTGGCTAGCTAGCTTCCCTGGGGATTACCAACTGGAGGCATTGAGAACATAGCCAGGAATTTATCTTCCCAGATCAAGTCACTCCACTATATAAAACCAGCCATTTGTGTCCCAAGGGATACATAGTTATAAGGTTCACCTTAACAGGAGCATGGTTCTTAGCGATTTGAGCCTTTGGGATTCTTTGGGTTCCATAGGTGTCCATTTAAAAACATTGACATGAACCTGAGAGGTGTTTTTCCTTGAATTCTTTCTCACCAAACTTGTTCCGGCTGCGTCCTGGGTGATGATGGAAAATGCAGGCACTGGCCAGCATCAGTGCCTGCTTTTGCAACCTTTGGGAGGTTGCACAAAAGTTCTGTGGAACTTTACCAACTCATTAGAGGCAAAGTTGGGAACGGTCTTAAAGATATTACTGCAATTTCAAAGTAACTGCACATTAAGGAACTCTTGGGACAGGCCAAACACCGTTCCCATGGGATGCAGCAGGGATCTTGTCCTTTGATACCTTTCCCAGAACCCTAGAGTTCAGAAACCCAGTGATTCCAAGTCATGCTTGAGAACTCTTGCCTACATGAGCTAATCAGAACATCTGACTCCAAATTAAAAAAAAAAAAAAAATAAGAAGGAAGCAGTTTGTTGTCTGCACAGAGGATTCACACATGTAAGAAAGCTCCAAGGGCTATGGCATTCCTTACTCAAACCAGTGTTTAAATCTGTTTTGGAGCAATGTGTGTGTGTGTGTGTGTGTGTGTGTGTGTGTGTGTGTGTGTGTGTGTGTGTGTGT